CCGAATACCCATGATATGGGCAACTAGCACATAATTTTTTAAAGCGCTCCCAATATTCATACAAGGTCTCATTATCTGCTTGCTCAATGTTGCTGATTTGCTTCTTGAGACTTGAAGAGATAGATGCGGGATAGTACCTGTCAAAGAAGCTCTTTTTCATTTGAGCCCATGTATTGATGCTCCCCGAGGGAAGATAAAACAACCAATCTTTGGCGGTGTCTTTGAGGGAGAATGGGAAGGCTCTCAGCTTGATTTGCTTCTCGGACACGCCATTGGGGCACATGCTTGTGCACACAATATGGAACTCTAACAAGTGCTTATTTGGATCTTCCCCTCGTAGGCCATGGAAGGAGGGGAGTAGATGAATGAGCCCAGATTTTAGCTCGAATGTGACCCCCGTATCAAGAGTTGGAAAAGTGATACATAAGGGTTGTTGATTTAGATTCGGAGCCGTGAGCTCCCTCAACGTTCTTGTTTCAAGAGCCATATTGATTTGCTCTTCGGTGTCGCTAGAATGAGAACTAGCACTTGATGATTCCTCCGAAGAAGTATTCGGAAATAAATTCCTGAACCTCTCGAAGGCTTGTTCTGTTTCGGGCTTTCTTTGGTAGGTGATTTGGTTTATAGATCGGTGTTTAACCATATACTCAAACAAAGCTCAGCAAAATAGAAATCTTTTATATATTTTTTTGAATTTTCTTGAAATAAAATAAAAAGAAAAATAATCGCCTTTCCCCGGCAACGGCGCCAAATTTGACGTGCACTTGTCGTGAGGTGCACTCAAAATAAATACAATACAATGAATATACGTAGTATAGCGTAGTAGAGTTCGTATCCACAGGGAAAAGAATAACTCTCTTTTTATGAAACTTAGTAAATAAAGGGGGGATTTGGATTGAGTGATTTAATTTAATTAAAAACTAAGATGAACGACCTATATGAGATTTAAGTCAAAGATAAAAAGGACTCGGCATTGCTACTTTCCACTTGTTGATATATTTTAGTCGATCACTGTTATATCTATAACTTATTCCCTCTCGAATACTTAATCGGGGAGTATATCCACTTCATCGAGGGTAGTTATTAACAACAACTGTTCATTAATAACCCTTACTATTACTCAAATATAGAACAACGCCTTATACCGATTTAATAGTAGCATTTAATCTTTCTAACTCCTTGATGAAATCAATTGAGATTGATAACCTCAACACAACGGTTTCGGTTTAACCAACAAAATTAATCCCTCTTAAGTTTATTAACCACGACCGTGCATTAATAAACTGAAGTTACTTACTTGTGAAACCATCAACGATTAACCATCGGTTCGTTGATCATTTCTAGTAATAATTAATATATGAAACAAAACTAGTTGATCCTTTAAGTAATGTTCGAAATATTAATATGAAATATGAGTAGGAATTAATTAATATTCAAGGAAGAATATTATTAAAAAAGATGAATCCTACTATAATTAATATCAAGATGTTAACTAATTGTCATCTTAGCAACACTCCCCAACATTAATATAGAGGAAGAAAATACTATTCTAACTAATGTCGAGATGTTAACTAATTGTCATCTTAGCAACACTCCCCAACATTAATATAGAGATGGTATTAAGGAAAGAACTATTAATTAATATTCAAGGAAAGAAGTTAAGAAAATAACTCACAACTTTAATAATCAAAAAGCTTCAAGAGCAACACCAAGAAATGGAAGTTTAGCTCCTCATTTGGAGACTAAACATGCTATAAAAATATAAGAAATACTATTCTAAAATGAGCTTAGGAGTATATAAGAAGGGATGATTTTTAGAGAAGAAAAGGGGTGCTATTTATAGGTGTTTTTCAACACCTTTGGCCGGGTACCCGACCGGGTCAAGTACTTACCCGACCGGGTCCGGTCAAAATCAGATAATCCGCCACGTTCTGGTGATCTTCGCACGTCGTTTTGTCCCAGGTCACATCTGACCTGACCGGGTCAAGTAAGGGACCCGACCGGGTTTGGTCTAAATCAGATTTTTCCAAATCTTTGTGATCTTCAGCATGTTCTGGTGTTCCGGGTCATATCTGACCCGACCGGGTCGAGTAAGGGACCCGACCGGGTCTTACTTTTTCTTCTTAGATTCGGTCTTCAACTGACCCGGCCGGGTTCAAGGTCTGACCCAATCAGATTTTTGTGCTCCTGGGTATTTTTGTCTTCAGCTTTTCTCCCCTTTTCCTTGTTACAAACTCTATCACTATTCTATAACTACGAAAAGAAGGAGAAAGCAATTACAAACAAAATAAAACAAGTACTTACAAACTAACTAAAAGCGATGGAAAATCCACACCCAATCAACATAAAAACATACATTTATGCACTATAAACTAGTGCATATCATACCCGATCGGGTAGACCGACATACTCGGTCGAGTATGATACGATTTTACACCTTCCGGAAAACTGCCTTTGGAACCCGATCGAGTGTCCTTTATACTTGGTTGGGTACCAAGCCCTGTCACCTCCAAACACCTATAAGTACACCTCTTTTCCTTCCCAATAGAGATATCAATTCTCATATACATCTAAGCTCAGTTTAGACATGTGTTTTGTTTCTATGTTTCTAGTATGTTTAGTCTCCAAATGAGTAGCTAAATCCTTTCAACTTGGGTTTTGCTACATTGAAGCTTGTGTTTGTAAGTAGTGAGTTATCTTCTCTTTAATTACATTCCTATTTATATCTCATATCAATACTTTAGCATTACTTAAAGGATCAATTAGTTTTGTTTTCATATAATAATTATTACTAGAATCGATCGACAAATACGCTTGTTATTCGCTTGGTCCTTTCAACGATAGTAAACATAGATTATCAATGCATGTGTCTCATGGTTAATGACCTAAGAGAGATTAATTATATTTAGAGAAAAATAATTAAAATACTCCAAACTTTGATGGGGCATGAGATAAGCACTCCAAACTTGCATATGTAATTTAAATACCCCAAACTTTATATAAAAAGTTATTTTAGCACCATGGTCATGCATTATATTTTCAAGACGTGGGGATGTTCGTCCCCATGAGCACCTAGAGGTACCCCAAAATGTACCCCATTTGTACCCCACACTATGATGGGAATACCCTACGCTTCGAGGATGATCGAGGCAAATCAAACAGTTGTATCATATCCACTGTGAGAGCAAGAAATATGATGAGAAAGGGATGTCACGCATATCTAACTTACGTGGTAGAAAAAACATAGAAGAAATAGACATCAATGATGTGAGAATAGTGTGCACGTATCCGGACGTCTTCCCAAAAAGACTTACCGGGACTTCCACCCGACAGGGAGATTGAGTTCGTGATCGAGGTTGAGCCCGACACCAAACTCATCTCCATACCGCCATACCGAATGGCACCCGCAGAACTTAACGAGTTGAAAACCCAATTGCAGGAGCTTTTGGAAAACTAATCTCCATAGACCAACCCAATTGATTAAAATTCATGGAAGTCCTACTCTGGACACCCTCTAAAACACTCAAAGTGTTGGTCTATTTGTCTTTTGTCGGCTTTAAAAATAACATCACGGTTTGACTTCGCAGTTTGACTTCACGATTTTTAAGAAAGTTGAATTTTTTGTTTTGACTTTTCTATTATGCCCCCAATAAAGTAGATAAAGTGTAGTGGGAGAGAGAAATTTAATGTGAAGTAGGTAATAATGTAAGTGTATAAGGGTAATTTTATATTGAAAAGTTGTCAAAAATAGAAGTGCGAATTTTATTTTGGACATATCGAAAAAGGAAAATGTGAAGTTGTTTTGGATGGGAGGGAGTGTGGAGTAGGGGTGTGCATCGGTCCAAAATCGGACCGGACTGGAACCGGAACCGGAATCATCATTTTCTATGGACCGAAGACCAGACCTGAATCTAACCGATCCGGACCGGTCCGGACCTGAATTTTCCGGTCCGGTCCGGTTTTTGACCCTAATTGACCCGGTTTTAGAATAGGTATAAACTACATGCACACATGCAAATAAGGAAACAAATAAAAAGCCATTTGGAAAAATCAAACAAATACAAACTACGATCATAATAGTGCACACCTACACATAAATAAACAAATCAAAAACAATTTAGGAAATAATTAGACACCAAATGTACACTCCATATATATTTGGTTTTATAATACTCCCTCCGTCCCGTTGGAATGTTCCCGCTTCCCTTTTTTGGATGCCCCGTTGAAAAGTTCCTATTTCCCTAAATGAAAAGTTATCCTACATCAAAACAGGGTCAAACAGTGCAAAACAGTGTCAAACAGTGTCGAAACAGTACCAAACATTGTCAAAACAGTGTCAAAACAGTAAAATTTACCCCCTGGTAAGTTTATTTCCTTAATATGTGTGTAGGTCAAACCGAGAATCTTCCAACGGGACAGAGGGAGTAAAAGATAAAAGTAAGCCATAAACATAATGACTAATGATATAGAACGAACTATATATTTTACGGAAAAATAGTTTACCAGTTTATTCCGGTCTGGACTTGTTTTTTCTGGGTTTGACCCGGACCGGACCGGAACCCGAAATCTTGAAAAACTAAGGACCGAAACCCGGACCGGTTAGTACCGGTCCGGTCCGGTCCATTCCGGTCCGGTTTCGGTCTAAAATACGGTCGAACCCGGTTAATGCACAGTCCTAGTGTGGAGTATGGAAATTGGATACCAACTACCCGCACGGGTAGCTCAGTTGGTCGAGTGGGGGGAGATTTGGAACAATGGACCAATGTTCGAATCCCCGCAGCGATCGATGGGAGGTCACAGAACCTGGAATAAGGCTGTGCCTCTAGTGGGTATGGATGTATGGATCTACTGTCATTCTGCTGACTGAGTCACCGTGACTAATCTCCCCACCATCTTGTCGAGTCGGGATGGGGCTCCTGGGGTGGGAGATTCCAGCTCGAACAATGGAAATTGGATACCAACTAATCAAAGGAGATGACGATAATCAGCAATTATTATTCTGAGAGCCACACAATTCCAAACCATTTGCATTTTCTCAATGGGCTCCTCCATTTTCTCACTGGCCCCCCTCACTGTCTTCCTCCTCTTCGTCTCCGCCTTCTCCCTCCGCTCCTCTTTAGCAGCAGAAAAATCGAGCACTCCGCCCATCGTTGTTGCCGCCTGCAAGGCCTCACGTGACCCAGCATCATGCCAGCTTGCATTGAACCAGTCTCGTCACGTGTCTCCCGGCACTACTGTTCTCCAGCTCTTCCAGTCCCTACTGAATCTCACTTTCCAGAATCTGGACACCGCCGAATCGCAGTTGAAGAAGATCCTGGCCGGATCTACTGGAAATCTCAACCGTACGATGGCCGCTAATAACTCCCTCGAGGCAATCGGTTACTCTCGATACCGGGTCGGGTTGACGGACCAACACGGGCTTGCAGGTGATAGGTTGAAGGACGGCCGTGCGTGGCTGAGCGCCGCCTTATCCTACCAGTACGGTGCCCGTTCCGACTTGAGAAACGTCAACGACACTGCAGATGTGATTGACGCTATGGCATTTATGAATGACACCTTAATTGTGACGACCAGCACCGTCCTGAGCATGCTCGCGAATTACGACCTCCACGGTGAGAATACCAGCTTGTGGGGCCCTCCAGTGACGGAACGGGACGGCTATTGGGAGCCGGCTGGCGGGTCGTGGTCGGAATTCGAAGGCGGCGTTCCAAAGGAACTGACCCCGAACGCCACGGTGTGTAAATGCGGTGGCTGCAACTACAAGACGGTGCAGGAGGCGGTGGATGCTGCGCCGGAGTCTAAGCCGGCCGAGCGGTTCGTGATTTGGATCAAAGGCGGAGTTTACGAAGAGACGGTCCGGGTGTCTCTGTACAGGTATAACGTCGTATTACTGGGAGATGGCATTGGCAAAACTGTAATTACGGGCTCCCTAAATGTGGGCCAACCCGGAATCACTACGTCCGAGTCCGCCACCGTCGGTATTCTCGGCGACGGCTTCATGGCGAGCAACATCACATTCGAGAACACCGGAGTTGGGGCTCAGGCAGTAGCCTTCCGATCCGACGGCGACCACACCCTCATCGAAACCTGCGAATTCAAAGGAAACCAAGATACCCTTTATGCTAAATCCCTGCGGCATTACTACAAATCTTGCCGCATCCAGGGTAATGTGGACTTCATTTTCGGCAACTCCGCTGCATTCTTCCAGGACTGTGAGATCCTGGTCGCGCCGAGGCCATTTCAGCCGGAGAAAGGTGAGAAAAACGCCGTCACGGCCCACGGGAGAAACGACCCAGCCCAGACAACGGGTTTCGTCTTCCACAATTGCTCCATCAACGGCACGGAGGAGTACATGAAGTTGTACCACAGCAACAGTAAGGTGCACATTACTTACCTCGGACGGCCATGGAAGGAGTATTCAAGGACAGTCTTCATAGGGTCCAGCTTTGAGGTGATCATCTCCAAGGATGGGTGGTCTCCTTGGCAGGGCGATTTCGCCCTTAGCACGCTTTACTACGCAGAATTCGAGAATATTGGAGCCGGAGCTAACACGGCCGGGCGTGTGAGTTGGAGTAGCAATATTCCGCGGGAGCATCTTAACTCTTACTCTGTTCATAATTTCATCCAAGGTGATGGATGGATTCCTGTTTCAGACAATGCCTTGTAAGTGTTAAAGATTATTACTGTAATTTGCGAGGAATCAGGGCTAATCTACTTACAATAGCAATGTTTTGTTGTCTTGTACAGTTTTATATGCAGGAACATTCCAAATTGCATTTCAAACAGCAAGTATGCTACAGGTTCCGGATTATTGATAATTTTTGTACTAATGATTTGGATATTGTAACTCTTTGGACATTTTTATTTACTTTTTTAAAAGTACATCATGTTCCGTATATTACCATAAAATTAAATCAATGAACCTGCCCCAGTCAATATCCTCTGATCTCCTCTTCATCTTCTCTTATTTACTGCTGTATGTTAAGCATTGAGGAAACAATTAACCAAACCAATTCTTTCTGAAATCGAAAAGTGGGGTCGAAAGAATCGATTCCACATCAAAATAACATGGTTTATAAAATGAAATTAACACTTTTAAAATTGTGTGATGTGTCACAATTATACCGTCAAAAGAAGTCAAAAAAAAAAGCATGGGAGATGCTCTAATATAAGTAGATACTTTTATGAGTTTTATCGGAAAACATTCATTTCAGCCTTCTATGAAGCGCTTGAAAACGCTTTTTTGGTATTTGCAAACGCTCTCAAAGCAAAGTTGTACTGTTGCACCACTCCATTTAGCCATATCCAAAGTACCCATGGCATTCATGAAAAAGGGTTGCAACCACATTGCATTGGGCAACGAGCAGAAGAGGTGATGTCCATTTCATTATATTTGGGGCTATGTATTCATTATACTTGGCTCCTTCCCATGAATTAGTGATGGACTTGGGCCGGTTCGGGCTCGGGTCGGGCCTCCGGTTTGTAAGTGATGGGCCCGAGACTTGCTCGAGGTAAGGACGGTTCCGGTTTGGGCTTGGCCACTCGCCCGGGTCACAGGTCGGGCCACCCGCCGGGCCGGGTCGGGCCCGGTAAATCCATTTTTTACTTATTTATACTTTATAGTTTTATACAAGTATTAAAAACAAACTTCAAGTGCATTTATTTGAAATAGACTTGGACTCAGGCCGGCGGTTCTGAATAGTTGAACCTAGGACCGGCCCGAGTAGCCACCGGGTCCGGTCCGGGCCGGGTAGCCACCGGGTCCGGTCCGGGCCGGGTAGCCACCGGGTCCGGTCCGGGTCCGGGCCGGGCCAGGCCTAGGGTTTGGTTTTTTTTTTGCTTACCTACCCATCACTGACCCCCCTCACCCCCACCCCCCCCAAACCCCCCAAACCCCTCCTAAACATCGAGCCCAACCCGGGTGGAGCCCAAACAAATGAAAAAAATAATCAATTTGGCCCGAACCGGGCCCGGCCGGGCCGAGCCTTGTTTTGGGTGACCCGAGCCCGGACCGGAAACCCATCGGATCGGACCTATCTGGACCGGTCACTGACTGGGCCACCGATTCGGGTTGGGCCGGAATAGTACCGGTCTCGGGCCAGCTTCGGGTCAGGCCACCCGGCCCGAGTCCAAGTCTAATTTGAAATGAAATAGGAATTACATTTGACAATTGAGAAAAAAATACAATATGAAATACATTTTGTAATCAATCAGAATTTCCCGATCCTTTGGCTTTGTCACATGACTTAATATGCTTCTTGGTCATCCCGTATCCGCGTGAAACCTCAAGCTACACTTTTTCCTGCACCATTTGCAAGTTGTTTACCACATCCCGGTCCTCGGGTCCTTCTGCGTATAAAAATGTTATAAAATAGGAGTATTTATAGAAATTTTTGTACCCCCACGCCACCCCCACTAACGGCTATATAGCCGTTTGGGCCTTTGAGGCTTGAGCCTTTGATTTCAAATTTCTTATGTTTATTTTAGTGTGAAATTTTTGAATAAATTACATAATGTAAGATTAATTAATTTGAGAAGTGCTACATATAAAAAAATGAACGTATATTTATTAGAATTTAGAAATATGAACTACAAGTTTACAAGTTACAATTGAGAATTGAAGGAAAAATTAAAACATGAAATACCAATCAATCGGAATTTCCGGCATAGGTAGAGCCACCCTCGGTTGATTCATGCATAAAGTTTTGGAATGGGTGATGCCAATTTCTTGAGCTCTACAGGCCGCCTTTAACCAATCATGGTAGCATATAAGCGTCTCAAGAGATTCTGCGCTCAACCTCGTTCTAGATTGCGCTAGGACATTGCCGACCGAACTAAATTATTGTTCTACGACAACTGTTGAAACCAGCATTGATAGCACTTTCTTAGCCATCTTTGCTAAAACCGGGAACATTCTTTCTTTTCCCTTCCACCAGTTTAGAATGTCAAATTCATGATCTTCTTCAAAATCAACATCATATGTTAAATACAAAGTAAACTCATTAATTGTGCTTTGTTGAGTAGCGGGGGTTGTTTTTGTTTTTTAATAAGATTAGCAAATGTAGAATTCAAAATTGATTTTCCTTTAGATGAAGATGTTTGTGTCGGGGGAGGGGGCGCGTTGCCATATTGTGCATGAAACTCATTAAATAATGCATAAAATATATCATTAACCTCGTTGTATTCTTTTTTCGGATCAATTGCGTTATCGTCATACATTGGAAGAGGACCATAAAAAGCGGCATAATAATAGTTCAAACATTCTTCTAAAGAACCAAGTCTAAAACGAGGATCGAGAACAAATGCAATACCATAAATATGCGGAATATGTGCATAATATTTTAAAAACTTTTCCTTCATAAAATCATCAAAATAACTCACATAAGTGGCATTCTCAAATTCCGCAAAAGCACCGGCGAGATTAACAGCTTCACGAATAAATTGGTTTGAGGTAGGTTTATAAACATGACTAAAAGTTTCAGTTGCATTAAAAAAATATACTAAAGCATTACAAATTTTTTCGCAAGTGTCGATATCAGCCGAGTTTATAATATAGTTATCATATTGTTTTAAAAAAGAAGGAAAATATTCTTTATATCTAAAAAGAACTGTCATTAACTTATAAGTACTATTCCAACGAATAGACAAATCTTTAGAAAAAGCCACATATTTCACACATCTTTCTATCAAATAATCATGTCATTTTTTTCTAAGTTGACCACTACCTCATATACGTCTAATCCCCCCGTGACTACCTTCATAGAATCTCCTAACGCTTTTAGACCATCTTGCACACATAAATTTAGAACATGACATGCACATCGTTGAAGAAAAAATCTACCCATCAAAGAACTAACACCACACAATTCACGCAATCTAGGAATAACAACAGTATTATTAGTAGCATTATCAAAACCAATAGCAAACACCTTATCATTCAAATTATACTCAATTAAAATACGCTCAATCAAAATTATAAATATGTTCAGCGGTGTGACGATCATTAAATTCACGAAAAGCAAGAACACGTTTATGCATATTCCATTCATTATAAATATAATGTGCAGTCAGACCCAAATAATGTAAATTATGATAAGTATCCTCCAATATGTCAGAATATACAGTAACACGCCCATCAAAGTTTGCAAAATAATTTTGTAACCTTACCTTTTCCGCACCATAAAGCCTTCAAATTTCTTTCTTAACTGTTTTGCGACTATAACCTCTATATTCAGGATTTAAACAAGTTTGTGCATAATCTTTGAAAGCAAGACTTTCAGAAAATAAATAAGGCAAATTTTCTTCAACAAGTAAGTGAGTCATATCAGTCAAATTTTGTGCATCATTGTATAAGAAATTACCAAAAGGTTGTTGGTTATTAGCAAACCTCGATATTTGAGTTTGCTTTCCCGTTCCGTCGCCTAATTTGTCATACTCCACCATGTGTTTGGCCTTAAAATGCCTTGCGGCGGATCCGTATCCGCCGGAAATCCCCAAGCTATAATTTTTCTTGCACCACTTGCAAGTTGCGTTCCAATTCCCGGTGTTCGGTTCCTTCCACTTAATCAAAATTATTAAGCATTAGTTCAGATTTACTTTTTTTCGTACCGGTTTGGGATGAGGCAGGCTCGTCGGCGTCGTGGCTGCCGCCACCTCCTCCGCGTCGGCGTAGTGGCTCTCCGAAATTACTTCCTCCACATCGTCGTCCTCGAGCTCTTCTTCATCAATGGTCATCGGCTTGTCTTGGAAAAACCGACTATTATGTCGGTGCAATTCTTGTTCTAGTTGTTCGTCGGTCATTGCATCCCCATCCCTCCTTGCTTAACCTGTATCAAAATCATCTCGGCTTTGAGATGAAGAGCCGATATGTGATTTATCTTTGCGGGATCTCTTCCTCGCAAGCTCGTTCGTTCGGTTGCGGTTGAGGTTACCCATATCAACCGAATATCTACCACCTTCCATCTTAAAAATGTAACAAATATAAATTTATAAAAACAATTCGAACTAATGAAATAAAATTCTAACAATTCTAACTTTAATGAAATAAAATTCTAACAATTCTAACTTTAATTCGTACTAACAATTATTTTATGTACTAACAATCAAAGTATTATATAAAATGTACTAATTCGTACTAAAATGTACTAACAATTCGAACTAAGTAGATATAAATTGTAATATGTATGTATTTAGTAGATATAAGTAGATATTAAGTAGATAATAAGTAGATAATAAGTAGATAAGAAATATAAGTATTATAATATACTGCGTATGTATTTATAAATAGATAATTAATATATAACTATATAAGTAGATAAGAAATATAAGTAATATAATATATGTATTTATAAGTAGATAAATAACACTACCTCCGTCCCACAATGAACTTCACAGTTTGACCTACACACATATTAAGGAAATAAACTTACCATGAGGTAAAGTTTACTATTTTGACACTGTTTCGACACTGTTTGGCACTGTTTCGACACTGTTTGGCACTGTTTTGCACTGTTTGACACTGTTTTGATGTAGATTAATTTTCCATTTAAGGAAATGAGAAATTGTTTTTAGGACATCTAAAAAAGGAAAGTGGGAAGTTCATTGCGGGATGAAGGGAGTATAAGTAGATATATAATATATTGGAAAATAAGAGAATTTGAGAAAATGAAGATGAAGATAATTAGAGAGTAGAGAGTAGGATTTAGGAAGAGTTGGAGAAGAGATATGGAAAAATGTTTAAGATTAGGAGTATTTATAGTTTTTTTTACCCCACCCACCAAATTACCCGGACCCCCCTGCCAGCCCACCCAACGGCTATATAACCGTTTGGGTAGTCCCAACCGTTGCCCTAACGGCTCTATTGGCCCAAAAGCAATTTTTTTAATTCTAATCATTGTGACTTGGACCCAGGCCTGACCCAATGAGACCTAATAGATTGCTCAACCACGATATAAGGGAGATATT